CCATGATCCTAGATGGGGATCAGTTGCCATGAGATGATTGCTCCTGCTTAGGGRCGCTGTCATCATGGGGTGCTGTGCCTGCCTTCTGCTGTTCCTGGAAGGAGTCAGACAATGACTGAAGACTTCTAGGCACTGCTCAAAGGGTCTGATGCTGTAAAAGCTGATAGTRGAATGTCCCTGCACATCTTTTCTCAGTCTTGAAAGGGGATGAGACAAGTTAGATAAAATTAGGGCTAATAAACCTTAGATTGCTAATTTTCAGATAATCAGACCTTAAATTGTTAACATGGCTCCATGCAGAGCTGAGCATGTCAGAGTTTAAAGTAATAAATTAGACAGACATAAAATAAAGACAGGGATGTCAGGCTTTATTCTGCCTTTGATTACCCAGGAGCTATTGGCAGACCTAAAAAAAAAAAAAAAAAAAAAAAAAAAAGAATCTCTGCTTTTAGGAAAAGCAGCCTCTTTAAATCCATGTTCCGCTTTTGGTCTCTACCCTCTGTCGCCCCCTCTTTCCCTTTGAGTTTTCATTTTATTGCACTTCAGTGTTGTAGTGTACAAAAATGGACAGTCTCTGGTCAGTAACTTTGTTCAGGTTTCTTGAGTATAATTGATAAAAATTGTACATATTCAAGGAGTACAATGTGACGTTTTGATATACACACACATCGGGAAACGCTTCTCCCAGGCAAGATGTTAACACATCCATCACCTCACATTGTTACTTTTTGTGTGTATGCATGGGATAGTAAGATCTACACTCTTAGCAGATTTCAAGAATGTATTATTATTAACTATGGTCACTATGCTGTAGAGAATCATATGCGATATATCAGTACATGAGAAAGAGCCTTAAAAGGGCTGCTTAGGATGGACTTGGTAGCATCCTTAAATATTTGACAAAAGACCATTCTAATAAAAGAAGAGTTAATATATAATTTCTGACATATAAATAGAATTGGTGTGTGGAATATTCTGGGGGACAGAACTTTTTACCCCCTGGGTTGAGGATTGAAGTCAGGGCTTTGTACTTGCTAAATAGGTGTTGATCTACACTTCCAGTCTCAAGACCATTTATTTTATTGAGCAGAACTAATTACTGTGTAGAGTATTTGGGGTCTTCATTACTAAAATCACTCAAAGAGGGGTGAGCCTAGGAATGTTGTTGAGGACTTCTTATTTTAGAAGGCATATCAGCTAATTGAGTGTGATGGCACAACCCATATCCCAACAGCTTGGCAGCCCAAGGCAGGAAGATGGCAAATTCAAAGCCAGACTCAGCAACTTAGTGAGGCCCTGTCACTAAATAAAATATAAAAACTGAACTGGGATGTGGCTCAGTGGTTAAACACTCTGGGTTCAATCCTTGGAACAAACAAGACAGGAAGGAAGAAAGGAAGGAAAGAAGGAAGGAAGGAAGGAAGGAAGGAAGGAAGGAAGGAAGGAAGGAAGGATAAATTACCTGAGTATCTCTCAAACTTATGTCTATTTATAATGTCTTTCCAAATAGTGTCAATTTTTGGAAAAGGTGAAAGGGATTATCATTAGAATGAAATATTATTTCTAGTAAAATACATGGTGGAACATTGGTAGCGAGAGCCTAATGTGGCACCCTTCCTTCCTTCCTTCCTTCCTTCCTTCCTTCCTTCCTTCCTTCCTTCCTTCCTTCCTTCCTTCCTTTCCAGTACTGGGGATTGAACTCAGGGATGTTATACCATTGAGCTACTTTTATTTTGAAACAGGGCCTCCAACTTGCAATCCTGCCTCCCAAGTCACAGGAACATGGGTGTGTGTCACTGTGACTAATAACTTAATTGCATTTTCTAAACAAAATGAAATTGAATCATGAGAACACCACAATGCCAGGAAAGTTGCTTGTTCAGTRCAGAAGTTTCTTGTTCTTGCATGATTTTTAGTTCAGAATCTGAGAGAGATAACATCAAGGAAAGCTACCTGCAAACCTGAGGTGACAAGAAAAGTTCACTCAATAGCAAATCTCAATGCATGCTCATCTCAATTTTTGGCTGTGTTTAGCTCTGATGTGTAGCACATGGGTATGATCCTTGAACATGCTCAGTAAAACATTGTTGATGCATTTCAGCTGGTGAAGGTGATCAACATGTTATTGAGTCATTTTTGCCACAGTTGGTCTTTGGGTATCTTGGTAGCATATCTTTATCATTGAACACTGGACACACAAACTCACCCTCTTCTCCCACAAAGGTTAACACTTGAACAAGTCACTGAAAATTATAATAAATAGGCATTTCTGATATTATTGGTATAGAGAAGAATTTCTTTTTTAATCCCATCTCTGATTTCAAACACTTCTCTGAACACTTTTTCTGCTCAAATGTCAGCCAGCTTCACTGTGGAAAACTGTACGTATGGCCTGTTTCTTCATTGTTATAGTTAGTACAGCATAAACATCTTTCACACACAGATGCAAATTTATGTCTTGCTTCTGTAACAGTCTATACTAGTTCCAATTAATGGATATCCCTCTTCCACAAACCAACTGGGCTTCTTTTATCTGTGGCTGCCCTCCCCTGGGCCTTGTGTCTCTCTCTATCCCATAGTGAAACAGGAAGATCATGGGAAACAGTGTGTAAGAGATTTTATCACCATAGCAAGAAAGCATTACTTTGTTTCAAAAAAACAAAAACAAAACAAAAACCTGAATGTCTTACTAGAGAAGTCAGCTTCAAGGACTTCAGGTCACTATTGAATGAAGTTTCACACACAACACTCTGAGTTCCAGGGCTAACAGATCACCAATGCAGCTTTACACAGACATTTCTGTTCTTACTACTAGTACAGATCTGCACATTCTAACTTGCASAGGTTCTGTATTTGCATTGGAATCCAGCTCACAATTTACCCTTTGGACTTTGTGCTTAGTTATAGTTTTACATTCTTTTATCTTTGTCTCAAGCTTTCATGAACCACTTCGTGAAACACTGAATGACAGCCATGAAAACAATGTGCTTAACAAGCAAAAGCAGCAACATAACATGGCGTGCAGGTGCTTAGTCAGAAGGAATGACATCTCGTTGAGAAGTGTTCGTTGATACAAATTAAATGAGAAGAGATTTTAAGAATATAACAATTCATACCAACAATCAAGAGACCTTTGAATGATCAGGCAGTCAAAAAATCAACAGCATGGTGGCATCTACTGAATTAGTTTGTCACACTTCCTTGGACTCTGCAAGTAAGGAACCCACAGAGAGAGAGAGACACTTCATTACTTACACAGGCAGACAAATATTATCATCATCATGGTCTCAGCTCCCTGTATACCATTTTCACAGTGTGGCAGCAAATAGAGTGGTGGATGAGTTGCTTCGTTGTTGAGAATCAGGACAAGGTCAGCACTGGGACAACTGAGAGCAAGTGTCCCCTTTACACGTTGTCCCTCAGGGGTCTCCTTGGTCTCACCCAAGCCCCTGCCTGTTAAGGTGGCAACTCAAAACAACCATGGGCAGTTTTATGGATTTTCATGGAAGTTTGCAGATGTATGCTAAGGTAGGGGTACAAGACAGAAAAGTCTGCCTTCAAATGAACCTAGGGAGATAGAGGAGGAATGGCCTATCATTGACTCCTACAAGGCAGAGATGAATAATTGCCTCAAGATGGCTCCACACCATGCTGATTCTCTCCTCCTGCTGCAGAGGAATTTCAGGCCAGTCAGAGCTGTTAAGCTTTGCCTATTTGGCCCTTGTGGAGATGTTTCAGTTGGTAGGATGCCATGGCAGAATTTTCCCCTACAGACTGGCAGCTCCATGAAGACAAAGCTCAATTTATTGCTTCATACTTCAGGGAGAACTAGGCTGGTCATGCAGTGTTTTTGCAAGCAGAACAGACCTTTGCTCTTGTTTTGTTTTGTTTTTGGCAAGGTAGAATTAGGGATTAGTCATTTTCAGAGGCATTAGATCAAGATTGATATCACCTGTAAAAGCTGATTGTTTCCCAAGAAGCTGTGGTTGGTTGTTTGCATTCAGAGGCACAGGCACTGTGCTTTTAGTGATTTGGTATGTTGGCTTTGATGGTCAAGATAGTTGTCCTTGCTGGGCTGAATGGGTTGTGACTGCTATTTGTGACCAGGACTTTAGGGAAGTCAGTAATTCTCCAGTTGTGGGAAACTGCTTTTATTTTCAGCTATAAAAGAATATGAATAAAAATAATCCTTGTTAAAATTTGTAAAACATCCGTGAAGAAAATTTTCACATATATTTTTTTCCTTGAAACTTCCCAACTGCCTCCTGACTACTTGATGGATTATGGTGATCAGGGGAGGAAAGCATATTTAGAAGAACCTTGTTCCACCTGGGACTTTTGGAGGGAAGGGGTTGGGTATTGTTATCTTCAGTCTTAAGCCTAGGTCCAGAACATGAGTGAGAGGTGCTCCGTTCCCAGACGAACTGATGAAGTATTAGAAACCCCAGCCCTTCGAAGAGCAGCAGAAAACGAAGGATTGGGCAGACAAGGAACTCTTAGAGTTGCAGGGTTGCTCTGTAAATTAGAGATGACTTTTGTAAATAATTGGTTGACATTAGTACCATCCTTATTTGAGTGGCATGAATGATATATGTAGTACTTCTATTCCAGGCGTGTATCATTTCACATAATTGTCAAGGCGCCAGGTACTTGCTTCTGTACCTAAAGATCATGAGGATGAATACAGGGTTGCGAACAGCTTGCCTGACTCCAATAACCTAGAACCTGACCAAGAAGCTAACGCTTCTGGACCAGGAAGTTGCAAAGCAAAAAGGCATTTCCACTAGCTATATTGGTCATCTGTGCACAGCTCTGGGGTGAGAACAGGATAGGAGGGAAAGAAAAGGACTAGGCTGACAACATCACCAGAGCATGGGGGCGGGTCGCGTGCCACAGACAGCGGTGGGGCTGCGGGAGGCGGCGCCAGGCTCGCATTGGCCCAGGGCACGCGGCCCTCCTCTTAAGGCTGGCCYAGCGTGCAGGGAAAAGCGGCTGTGTTCAGTGGCCGGAACTACAGGCAACTTTGGCGACAGAGGAAAATGGCTGAGTACTTGCGKCTGCCTCACTCCCTGGCGCTGATCCGCCTCCGAAACCCGCCGGTCAACGCGATCAGGTAACAGTGCCCTGTGCGCGCAGCGCGGGGACAGCAGGGCATTGCTGCAACCTTTGACTCTTCCTGCTGGTTGAAACTGAGAAGGACACTGACATCTGGAGCCAGAATATATGCCAGAGTCTTTTCGTCCAGATTAGCTGGGTTAATCTTCGTGAAAACTCTCGAYCCCTCTTGACTGGTCAGGAAACTGAGGCTGAGTGATGCTACTGAGCGGTGGAGCTGGGCGTGGGCTGAATCTGTCCTTGCCCACTGCGGGCTGAACCCTTCTGCTTGCTTGCAGCTTCTTCTCAAACTTTCAGTTCCAAAGGACTTGAGTTAGTGCAGAGCAGGACCTTGATCCAGCTGCACTCCCCCTATTGGGAGCGCAGGCTGGCTGCTCTTACAAGGAGTGGTAAAAGCTGCAGGTGTCCTACAGAAAGTGGCTGCCCATTTCTAAGAGAGAGTAAGGGGCTGAGGGCTTTGTTCCGTGGTAGAGCCTTGCCTAGCATGCCTGAGACCCTCGTTTCATCCCCAGCACCACTAAACAATTAAAAAATACACAAAATGAAGCAGGTTCCCGTGAATGCCAACACGGTGAGTAAAGGGAATTTGTCCCTGGCCCAGAATTAGTTTCTCCTGATCTGTTCTAAACCTCAGGACCAAAGAACTTCCATGGAGTATCCATGTCACAGTAAGGCCCAAGTAGCATTAAAACAAACAAACAAACAAACAAAACAAACAAACAAACAAAAACAAACAAACAAAAACAAACTGAGAAAGTTAATCTTTTATTTCATCCTGAGGTTCTTTCTGAGAAAGCCAAATTCACTTGGAGCATTACTTTTATTTTTTGGTTTTTTTTTTGTGGTGCTGGGGTTTGAACCCAGGGCCTTGTGAATAGAGGCAAGCACTCTACCAACCGAGTCATAACCCCAGTCCCCTGGGGTATTAGTTTTAGAAGTGAAATCAGCGATGCCTTTATGAAAATTAATGGAGTTCACTTGGTGCAGTTCTTCCATATCTATGATATAGTTCTACATTTAGGTTGGGAAGAGCCACCCATCCTCAGAGTCAGATAAGCAGAAATTATAACTTACAGAAAATATATAAAACATAGATAGGTCTTTAGTGAAAATTCTCATCACACACTGCTGGAGCAAACAGAGATGGAAAGACAGCTGTTAATTTTAACTGATTTGTTTTTCTTTTTTATCCTACTGTCATTGTATTTGATTCTTAGCCTTAGTTTTAATATTGCACTTATTATAATGTGAATAATAGGATTTAATAACACAAAAAAAGAGAAATTAAACCACAAAAATATCTGCCTGCCATTCCCAGAAAAAAAATGCAAAATACCCATTGTATTTGTTTTGACAAAGAAACATGTAAGTAATATGATTCCACATCCCTTTGGACTGTATACTGATTGGATTATTACATACTGAGATTCTCCTGCTACTGGAGCTTCTGCTCATATTGGGCAACTATTCCCATCCAGAACTTAGGAAAAAAGGTTTCATAGTCTAATACCTCCAGCTATAATATTTTCTGRAAATTGCTTGATGTATTTCTGGTATTTAGCCTGCTAGCTCACCCCCAATCCAGGAATAATGTAAGTACTTAATTAATAATGTTGTATGGAGCCCCAGGAGTAATGTGCACATCTATAATTCTAGGAGGCCAGCTTGGGCAGCTTAGTGAGATCCTGTCTCAAAATAAAAAGTGGGTGGGGATTCAGCTCAGTGGTAGAGCACTCCTGGGTTCAATCCCAGTATCAATCAACCAATCAATCAACATTGTGAGGATTAAATGAGTTGGAGGTTTTAAATTGGCACTTAATTCCTGACTTAATTACTGATAGTGAGAAGGCCTGTTGCAAGCCCTTATCAGCAGGCCTGATGCTTAGGATTCACTTCTGCTTTATCAAGATTAACTCCACTTGGGACTAAATCCTTCCCTGCCCTTTACCATTTGTCTTTCTCTGTCCTTTTATTTTAGTTAGGGTATACATGCCTGTGTTCACCAACTTTAACAGTTCTGTTTGTTTGTTTGTTTTAAACTTTATACCTTTACTTCCTCTCCCATTCCCATTTCTCATTTCATGTAGGAAGTTTTCTCTTTCAGACTCACTGAGAGATCCTTATTGGAATAATTCTTTTTCTTTTATGTCCAGTTTAAATCCTGCCTTGCTACTTTAGCCAGCCGTGTTTCATTCCATTCTCATGAGTGTCAACCCTCTTCATCAGTGCAGGACATGCCTGAATACTAGGCCTGTCCTCCAGAATGGCGTTCATACATTTTTGTTATTGTTATTTTATTGCCACCCATATAGTAAGAACCTCATGTACAGAACAGCTCAAGATACTTATCATCCCAGCAGCTGGGGAGGCTGAGACAGGTGGATAGTGAATTCAAAGCCAGCCAGCAACTTAGCAAGGCCCTCAGCAACTCAGTGAGACCCTGTCTTAAATAAAAAAGGACTGGGGGAGGGGCTGGGTTGTAGCTCAGTGGTAGAGTGCTTGCCTAGCAAGGCACTGGGTTCAATCCTCAGCACTACATAATAAATAAATGAATAAATAAACAAAAAAATAAATAAAATAAACATGTTGTGTCCATCTACAACTAAAATAAATAAATAAATAAATAAGAGAAAAAAAGGCCTGGGGATGTGGCTCCGTGGTTAAGCACCCTTAGGTTCAATCCTGGTGCCAAAACACACAAAAATAAGATACATACACATGAATAACTGAAAATAAAATTTCCTGAACCCAAACCTATTCTTAACATTTTCCAGAACTTGGGATAATCTAGTTTTTCTTCTATATTTTATTTATTTCTTTGAAAAAAATGCTGAGGACAAGCCACAAACTTGATTTGATGAATTTTGATTAAAAATAAAACTGACAAAAAGCAAAGACCTGCTATGATGACMAACTGAAGCCTTGTGGTAGACACTCATGAATGTCATCATCCCCGGTTTCATCCTCTACACCTGGCAGTGGTAAAGGCCACCACGAAGTGTTTTCCCCTAGTCTGGCTGGGAGGCTGTGGTTCCTGTAAGCAGAATCTAGTAAAGTTGACAAAGAGGTYGCTGTTTTCCTTTTTTTTTTGGTTTTGAATTTTTCCTGATTAATAAGAGCGTAATGAAACAGGAGAGGTTGGTTGAATGGGGAAAAGGGTGTCTCTTCTCCTCAGATGGCTACTCATTTTGTAGCCTTCTTTTGCCCCAAAGGAAATACTGTTAACCCTCTGTATCTCTGGGTTCCACATCTGCCATTCAGCTAACCATAGATTGGAAACGTACTCAGGGAGCTGGGGTTGTGATTCAGTGGTAGAGCGCTCGCTTAGCATGTGCGAGGCCCTGGCTTCGATCCTCAGCATCATATAAAAATAAAATAAAGGTATTGTGTCCAATCAACTACAACTAAAAAATATTAAAAAAAAAAGAAAATATACTCAGTTCCATGATGGTTGGGTCTCCAGTGACTACATAGAGTGTGTGTATGAAAAAGAGAAAGGGAGAGAGATTATTCATTTCCTAAACAATGAATTATAACAACTATTTACATAACATTTCTGTTTTATGGGGTCATATAAGTAATCTAGAGATGGTGATGTAACCTAGGTTATATTCAGATACTCCGCTATTTTATATAAGGGACTTGATCATATATGAGGAGTTTGATATGTTAAGGGGGTAGTGGGGTTGCTGGACCAGTTCTCCACAGACACTGAGGGACAGATGCATGTGCTTTTGGACTGCTCACTATTATGTAATGGCCCAAGATCTGTTGCTCAGGATGAGATTTGGTTTCTAATTAACCAGGCAAAAGCAACAGATTAGTGTTTGTTTTCCTCTAGGCTAAGAGGTGAAAAGTAACTAGGTGAAAGGTAATTATCATACAGGAGGGCAGGTAATTATCATACAGTCTCCTGTATCTTAACAATAGCGCTTACACAGATGTTTGCTGCTGTTGGTTTTAAATTGTTTTTACCCATATACTAAAACACAGAAATTTTAGATCCCAGCTTGTTCAGCAGGTCTAACAGTGTCTTGATTTTTTTCTTTATACTTTTCTTTCATTCCTTCCTTCCTTATTTATCCTTCCTATTATCATATTTGGGAAGTTACCACATCCTAGCTCAGTAAGTGAGAGATTCTTATTTTAATAATTATTTTTTCCCCAGATCGTTTAAATCCTTCATTGCTACTTTAGCCAGCCATGTTTCCCTTCTATTCAGATGAACATCATCCTCTTAATACATGTAGGACATGACTCTCTAGTAGGCCTGTTTCCTGGAGCAATGACTTTACACATTTAGAAAACTAATCCACATAGTAAGAAACCTTATATTTTACATAGCAACTAAAAACACACACATACAAATGTACACCCAGAAACAAGTTTCCTAAAACCAAAGCCACCCTTCCTTGCTTGGCACATTCCTTGGTGCAGAAACTCTTGCTTTCTGTTTAGTTCTTTAGTCCCCGAGGCCTTTACCTTGCCATATCTGTTTCATCCATGTGGTCTTTAGAGAGATTTGTTGTTTAAGATTTTTGTACCTCATGTTTTTCTTTTTTTCCTGCTTCTGAGTTTGTCACTATTAACAAATGAATAAAACAAGGAGAGGTTGTTTGAAATGGAAAAAACCAGACACTTGTCCACAGTGGCACTGACTGAACTAATTTTGGYTCATTTGGTAGCCTTTCCTTACTCAGAAGGAAATACTCCGTATCCCTGGATTCCACATCTTCCATTGAGCCAACCTGTGGGAGGCCAACCTTATGGGTGACTGAGTTACACTCCCCAGCTGGGTGCTGAGGTGCTCAGTCACAGAAATGGGTGTGTCTTGCTACAGCCCCATGGGTGGAGCTATGCTCACCTGTTCCTTTGTAATATAACCCCTTGCCCTGTTTAGGATAGAATCTTCCATGGAAGTGCCTTGTGTGTKTCCCCTTCTCTTACTGTGTCCTTGGGTGTGGCCTGCCCAGGTGTCAGTCAACCTGCTGACAGAAACCTGACCCCTTGCCTCATTTGAATAGCTTCTCCTCAATAAAAGGGGTCAGCAGGTGCTCTAGCTCTCTCTTTCTGCGGACCCTTAAGGTCAGAGGAGCCCTCACAGCAACCCCAAAGAAAAAGGTATTTGTGTCTCTTGTGTGGTTATTTCGTGCAGCCCAGTTAGCCCAGTTTAACTAGAGTGACCCCTGAGCCTTTTAGTAGAGAACAGAAACCCGGTACCAACCCTGGATAAAACATGTGGTTAGAGGTCCAGGATGATTGGATCTCTAGTAAACCTTTAGAATATTTTTACCTGTCGCCATTCTCAAATCAACATGGTATAGCAACTGTTTACATAGCATTTATGTTTTATTGGTTATTAAAAGTAATCTAGAAATGATGCACGTAGTTTATATGCATATACTACACTATTTTTCATAAAGTACCTGAGAATATGAGGATTTTGGTTTCCCGAGGGTGGAGTGGTCTTGGATTCAGTTTCCCATAGATACTGAGAGATGGCTACATATGCCTTTTGGACTTGTCTGTATTATGTTAATGGTGCAGAAACTGTTTATATGATTAGATTTGATTTCTAATTAACCAGTTGAAAGCAAGAGGTCTTGTTTGATTTCCTAGGAGGTGAAAAGCCACTAGGTGAAAGGACAGTCCTAGTAATTTTTGACTCATTGCTGCCTGCCGTAACCATATGGCCTTTAGAGAGATTTGTTGTTTAAGAGATTTCATGTTTTTTGTTTTGTTTTGTTTTGGCTTTATACAGTTTTTTTCCCCTCCCTTCCTTCCTTTTCCTCTTCCTATTTCTCATTTTATGGAGGAAGTTCTGTTATCTTAGTTCACTGAGAGCTTCTTATTTGTTATTTAATTTTGGGGTGCTGGGGATTGAACATGGGGTCTCATGCATACTAAGCAAGAACTCTACCACTGAGCTCCATGTTTGGCTCAAGAAATTCTCATTTGAAAAATTAATTTCCCCCCCCAAGAAAATAGTTTAAATACTTTACTGCTAGTTTAGCCAGCCATGTGTCCTTCCATTCAGAAGAACATCAACCTTCCTTATAAATGTAGGACATGACTCATGACTAGGCCTCTCTCCAGAATAAGGGCTTTCACACTTTTTTTTAAAACTGTGTGCATATGTAAGAAACTGTATGTTTTAGAAGAGGAAATATGATCAGTCAACAAATATATGAAAAAATGTTCAACATCTCTAGCAATTAGAGAAATGCAAATCAAAACTACATTRAGATTTCATCTCACTCTAGTCAAAACAGCAATTATCAAGAATACAAGCAACAATAAATGTTGGCAAGGAGGTGGGGAAAAAGGTACACTCGTACATTGTTGGTGGGACTGCAAATTGGTGCAACCACTCTGGAAAACAGTATGGAGATTCCTCAGAAAACTTAGAATGGAACTACCATTTGTCTCAGTTATCTCACCCTCCTGTTTAAATCCAAAGGACTTAACATCAGCATACTACAGTGACTCGGCCACATGGATGTTTATARCAGCTCAATTCAAAATAACTAAACTATGGAACCAACCTAGGTGCCCTTCAATAGATGAATAGATAACAAAATGTGGCATATATACACAATAGAATATTACTTAGCCATAAAGAAGAATAAAATTATGGCATTTGGCAGTAAATGAATGGAACTGGAGAATATTATGCTAAGCAAAATAAGCCAATCCCAAAGAACCAAAGGCCAAATGTTTTCTCTGATATGTGGGTGCTAATTCACAATGTGGGGGTGGGGAGGTTGGGAAGAATAGAAGTACTTTGKATTAGACAAAGGGGAATGAAGGGAAGGGAAAGGGAATGGGAATAGGAAAGATAGAACAAATTGGACAGTATTATCCTCCTGTGCATATATGATTACATGACCAATGTCATTGTACATCATGTAAACCAGAAGAATGAGAAGTTATACTCCATATATGTATAACATGTCAGAATAATTCTATCATGTATAACTAATAAGAATAAATAAAAATATTTTTTAAATAAATGATAAGTAAAAAAATTGAAAGCCTAAAACAAAGAGAAGGAAACTGTATGTTTTATATAACAACTGAAGATACAGATATACATATGGATAAATGAAAAATACAAAAACTTGTTAAATAGTTTGACACATTCTGTTTTCTGTTTCTTTATTTGAAAAAAAAACATTAGTTACAGCCACAGACTTGATGATGAACTTTCATTAACTAAATAAAACCCCAGTTGCCCCAAAGCAGAGGCCTGCTGTGGTCACAGAAGCTGAAGGCAGGAGAGAAAGAGAGAGTGTGGAAAACCAGCAAGGAAGGGGCTGGGGAAGAGAGATGCCCTTCCACAGCTCATCCCACCTCCTCCAACTAGGTCCCACTTCATGCAGTTTTTGCATCCAGCTGTGAATCTCTTACTGGATTCATCCATTAATGAGGTTAGAGCTTGCATGATCCAAACACTTCCCCAAATCCCCACCTCTGAACATGGCTGTGTTGGGGACCAAGCCTTCAATACATGAGACTTTGGGGGGACATTTCAGACACAACCATTGCACAGTACTCACTGTTTTTCGTAGGTCTTCCTCTTTCACTATTCCTTTTCTGTGTTAATCTCCTGGTTCATGGAAAATCTACCCGCCATTGGTCTTTATGCCTTGGGGTCCTTGGTGCAGGATTACTGTACTGAACCTCTCCTCCTTCTTGAACAAGGATGAATCCAGAGAATCTGCCCATGGGTCAAATTTCTWTTTATTTTCTGGACTCTTACAGTCTTGGCTTTAACTGTCTCTTCTGTGGATGACTCCCTCAGATACTGAAAGCTGAAAAAAAAATCTATTGTTGTACATGCCCTATCTTTCTCTGTCCTTTACCTCCTTAATTATTTGGGATTAAACTAAATATCAGTAACAGAAAACTCAAAAATGAATTAAATAAGAAGAAATTAACTTCTCTCACACTGGTATCCTGGAATGATATTGGTGCTTCACAAATATCAATGACCCCGATTCTATCTATCTTTTGCTCTTGTCTTATTATATGGCTTTTACCTGTTGGTCCAATATGGATGCTCCCCATCTATATATCACATCTGCATTCCTGTCAGGTACAGAGAGAGAAGGAAAAAAAAGGGAGGAAAGTATATTCAGTCCTTTAGGGACTCTTCCCCAAAATTGCATAAATATGGTTCATTGACGAGAACTTAAGGCCTTGAGTCGAACTTACTTTAAAGCAAGATGGAAAATGTAGTTTTTTTTKGGGGGGGGGCTACAATGTATTCAACTAAAATGTAGGCATTTTCATTATGTGAAGAAGGCAAGGAGGGATGGATATCTGAGGTAACCAGCAGCCCCTGCCACATCTCCTGGACCACTTCTCTTGTTACTTTTCTTCTCTTTCTGTCATTATGATAAATTGAAAGTCATTTGCTCCCCTCTGAACTTCCTCATCACTTTCTTTGTATCTTTAGTGTAGCACTTACCTTACTGCTCCTTACGTGATCATTGTGTATGTTTGTCAGTTTGTATGTTTGCACTTTTCTATAGTAAGTGTAATGATATTTTAAAATTGGTTAGTGCTGATTCTAAGTGGTTAACATTAGAGCAGAGTACAAGAAAATAATATTACTTTTCAAGGGGACTCGTATAATTAGCTCACTGCTTAATTCACAATAGACAATATTGTATGATGAACAAATTAGTGAGCTTTAATGGTAACTTTCTATGGTTTTTATACAATGTGCATGTGTTTAAAGTTTCAGTATTAGGAAAGGAAAAACTCTGAGATGGTAGAACTTTAATTATTAATTTTTGCTTCATGTATTTTTTTTCTTTTAGTTTGACTGTACTCAATGGAATAAAAGAGGGACTAAAGAAAGCCATATCCGACCATACAGTAAAAGCCATTGTGATATCTGGAGAAAATGGAATATTCTGTGCAGGTAACACTTGTCTGACCCTCTCCCATTATCTCTATAGAATCTAGTCACAGACCGAGATCCATACTGCAATAGTTGTCCCTCTGGGTAATAACTTAATGTGTGTGGTAGATATGGGAGACTAGAGTGGGACTGAGAAACACTGTGGAGAAAGAAACAGGTCCCAGGTGAGACGCAGAGAAGACTCTGGCTTTGTCTCTTTTTTTTTTTTTTTTTTTTTGAGTTGCGACTTTGGTGGACATTTAGGTCCTGACACTTGCTCCTATACACATGCTGATGCATATACTGGTTTTGCACATCTCCACCCTATCTCCATAATCTCCTGAACATCAATTTCTCTATATATGAAGTAGGGACAGTAATGTCTATGTTAAGGGGTGTTTGAGAGGTTTGGTGAGATGCCTTCGCTAAACTCTCTTCATGCAGCGTCTGCCCACAGAAGGGGATCAGCAAGGGTTACTGTTCACACCTAGTCTTAAAATGAAGTTCTTTTTCCTTCTGGTGGGCATCCACTTTAGTGCCTGTGGTACTGCTTTATTGGGTCATTGTCTGAAGGTGCTCAGATGTGGCCACAATATCTGAAGTCGTAATTTATTCAATGATATAGCACCTCTTCCTTTTTTCCATCAATGAATGTATGAAGCTCTTTGACAGAAGGCACATGGATATTAGGGTTTAGTGAATTTCACCTACCAGTGGTATTTAATGTATATTAATGGTAGCCTGAAAAGACAGAGATGAGTGGAATCATGACAATAGATATTAGTACTGTGATGGTTATATATCAATTATAATGAAAATAATAACATTCTTACACACATCATATTTTTATGCTGTGTAAATTCTATAATCCCCATTTACAAATGAGGATACCCCGTCTGAGAAGTTAAAATAATGTGCCAACCATTAACTAGCTATAAAATCGTTTACTCATTAGAAACTTACACTTGGACAGCCAACGTAATGACTTTGGAGCACAGAAAGAGAGATCAGAATTATAGAGAACATGATTTTTCTTGTAAGAAAGTGAAGATAGAATGTAATCAGAGTTCCTGGACAGAAAAGAATATTATTCTAAAAAAGGAATGATCAGACATGACATAATGGATATGTGTAGTATTGTGCACCCCAAATATTGGAAAGTATACACACTTGTCAATTACATATGGAACATTTACAAAAATCAAGTGAGGCCTGGATCATCAAAGTTTTTCTTTGTCTTGGGTTTGGGGTTAACTCAGTGATGGGGCTTGTGCTTTGTTTTCTCCAGGCCTTGGGTTTACTCTCTAGCACCAAAAAGAAAAGAAAAAAAATAAAGCTGTCTCAATAAATTTCATTTAGAATATATTCTCTGACAACAATGGGGTTAGGCTAGAAATGAATAACAAGGATAAAACTTAAAATTCTCTTATGTTTGGAAATTAATTTCTTAACCTGTTAGTCAAAACAGAAATCTTGATGGAATTCAGATAATATTCTAAACTGAAGGACAATGAAAACATTTGAAACTTGAGGGATGAAGCCAGAGTAAAGGACCAAAGGAAAAAATGCTTTTAAAGACTATATTAGAAAAGAAAAAAAGGTTGAAACATAACGAGCTAAACATCTCTATGATGAAACGGATAAAACAAGCRAAACAGTAAAACAGACCCAAATAAAGTAGAAGGAAGGACATAATGAAGAGGAAAAATTAATGAAATAGAAAAATAAGAGTGAATCAAGAGGAGCAACACTGTCAAAGTTAGTTCTTTGAAAAAACTAAGAAAATTGACAAGCCTCTGGGGAGATTGATCAGAGAAAAAGAGAAGGTGGAGCAGTGCATATGAGGAGAGATCATAAAGTGATCCCTGCAGATTGTATCATCACTAAAAAAGAGAATGACAATATTATGMAGCAGGAGACACATATAGCTTGCCAAATGGACTCAAGGAAAAATAGAAAACCCCAGAAGTTCTATAACCATTAGAGAAATGCCATCAGTAATAAAAAAAAATCTTGCAAAATGAATTTCATGTTCAGATGACTTCCTTGGCAAACTGCTATAAAGTCAAGGAGAATATTATTCCAATGTCACACAAACGTTTTAGAGAATCCAAGGGGAGGGAACCCTGACTTTTTCAGTTTCCTAGGACCACCTTAAGACATTTTCACACACCAAGTGGCTTAAAACAACAGAAACAAACAGCTGTTTGTCTCTCAGCTCTGCAAGCTAGATATTTGTAATCAGGATATCAGTTGGGCCACTCTTCCTCCTAAGGCTTTAGGGAAGAATCCTACCTGTCTCTTCTAGGTSCTGCTGTTGCTGCTGCTCCTTCTTTTTCTCTTCCTCCTCCTCCTCCTCCATTCTCTTCCTCTTCCTCTTTTGTACTGGGGATTGAACCCAGGGATGCTTAGCCAATGAACTACATCCCCAGCCCTTTTTTATTTATTTTGGAACAGAGTCTTGCCGGGTTGCTTAGGGCCTTGCTAAGTTGCTGAGGCTGGCTTTGAACTTGCAATCCTTCTGCCTCAGCCTCGAGTGGCAGGGATAACAGGTGTCTTCCAGCTTTTTGTGGTGCCATCAGTCCTTGGCTGGTAGATACTTTGCTCCAATTTGCTGCTTCTGTCTTCACATTGCTTTCTTCCCTATAGGTCCATATCAATTTCCTGAACTTACATAGGAGCACTATCTTCTTAACTTGATTACATCTGCAAAGACCGTATTTCCAAATAAAGTCACTTCCCAGGTTCTGGGTGGGCACTATTCAACCCAGTCCATGTCTCAACTCCTTTTGAGAAGCTAACATAAGCTTAACCCTTATACTTTACTGTCAGTATAAAGAAGCAAAATCACAGGCCAATTTCATTCATAAATGTAAATATAAAAATCTTAGTGCATTCTGAAACTGAACCTAACAGTATATAAATGGTATAATATATCACTTATGTCCTAGAAATACCAATTGGTTGAACAATAGTTTAATGTTATTCATCCTGTTAAAAGATTCACCAGATCAATCATGATTATTTCAAGAAATGCAGGAAAAATATTCAATAACATTTGACATGTATTTAAAATAAAAACTGTTAATAAACTAGATAAAGAAAGGAAATGTTTCAATTGGTTAAAACATATCTTTTTTGGGGGGCTAGGATTGTGGGTCAGTGATAGAGTGCTGGCCTGGCATCCATGAGGCACTGGGTTGGATCTTCAATATCACCTAAATGTAAAATTAAATACATTGTGYMCACCTAAAACTAAGAAATAAATATTTTTTAAAAAACATATCTTTCTTTAAAAAATCAGCATATATCAAGCAAATGGTCAATTAAAGGGTGTCTTTATAAGAAAGAAAGAATTGAAGGCTGACTAATCTTACTATTTCTACTTGATAGTGTATTTGAGGTCCTGTGTGGCCCAGTGAGCTAGAAAAAGAATGTTTGAAAGAAAGATATAGTAACGTTTGTAGAAAAAGGGAAAAAATCTATCAGAAATTTATTAGGATTAAGAAAAGAATCTAGCAGTTTTGCTAGATATAAAATCAGTATTCAACAATTATTGGATTTCTCTGTGCTGGAAATAATTTAAAACAGATTTCTATGCTGTGCCTTGGTTTCTGTCAAATTGGAGCAATAATAACACCACCCTTATATGATAAGTAGAAGACTCTAATACAGCATTTAAGCATCAGGATTTGTAACCAGACTGCCTGCGTATAAATCCTTAGCCTAGTTGTATGTCTCAACTCATCAGTTAACATCTCAAAACCTAACTTCTTTATTCATTAAAGGGAAATTCTTAAACTAGGTGTTTTGAAAACTAAGTGACATACTATATGAAATTGTTTAGTGTTTTAGTCAGCTTTTCCGCTGCTGTGACTAAAGGACCCCACAAGAGCAATTTTAGATAAGGAAAAGTTTATTTAGGAGCTCACAGTTTCAGAGGTCTCTGTCCATAGAAGGCCAGTTCCATTGCTCGGCGATTGAGGTGAGGTAGAACACCATGGCAGAAGAGTGTAGTGGAGGAAAGCAGAGAGAGACTCCACTGGCCAGATACAAAATACATACCCAAAGCCACACCACCAATGTCTACCTCCTCAGCCACACTCTACCTGCTTTCAGTTATCACTCAATTAATCCCAAYTTGCTGATTGGGTTAAAGCTCTTATAACCCAATCATTTCTCCTCTGAACCTTGCATTGTCTCACACATGAGCTTTCAGGGGGCACCTCACATCCAAATCATAACCCTTAGCATAGAGCCTGATATATTTACTAATAAATGTTAATTTCTATTAGTCATGAGACTCCATCTCATTTTGAAGCTGCAGGAATGATAGGCCTGAGGCTCAAATTAGGAATTAATCTCATTTCTCTAGAACCAAAAGGAATCTTAAAAACACACAAAACACTGGGTTGGAAAGTCAAATATAAAGGATTGGTGAGAAAAAAGCAAAAGCCCTGAATTGATGCCCTGAATAGGTAGTAAGAAGAAAAAGAAAAAGAATAGGTGAATAGGCGAAGCATGAAATAATTAATTTTTAAACTGGTGCCATACTTATTGCTTTCAAAGAATAGATAATGCTATAGGAAAAAAGCTCACTGTGTATAATGACATGAAAATATAAAATGTAAAATAAGACTTTACAGTATGCTGTCGATATTCAAAATACCATTAAACTTTAATTCAATTCTCAAATCAGTTGTTTAAGAAAGGTTTTGAGACAAGGATGAAATAACTTATTCAAGGTTACAAAACTATTTATATATGCATGGGGAAAACTATTAATTCACCACATCTTAAATTATTATCTCCGTGTGGTAATATTTAGGGTGATCCATATGTTCTTTATAATTTTTTTGTTTTTGTACTTTTCTATAATGCATGTGTTAATTTTGATAATCAGGAAAAGCAAGAAATATTGTTAGTTTCCCTAATCATAAAAAAAATCTATCAAGGTATAATTCTAAGCCAGTTGATTGACATATAGTTCACAAGTATGTATTTTACCCTGGCATTTTGTATTATAATGACTCACGCTCTTAGGAAAGATAAGAGACTAAATTACCATGAACAGGGTTGAGAACAGATCATGAAAACAATGAGAGGCCAACTCAATCTCAGAAGGATAGTCTTGGGTGGAGACCCCTGTACCCCTTCTCTAAGCTTTAATTTTAAATTTGCTTAAAGCTAGAGTTGCTACCTACCATGGAAAGACAGAGATGGTTACAGGATTCCTAGTAGAGATTTGAAGATTCTTCTCTCATTTAATTCTGTGTTTCCTGGACTAGTTGTTTTGTGTGTCTCCAGTATAAGGACAAAGTGTCTCCTGGACTCAGTGAGGTTTAAGCCTTCCTAAGAGTGATCGGGTCCCTTGTGTTAATAACAAAGCAARTCTTTCTCAACCCTCTTTTCTCTTTGTCTTTGTGTCCTATAGGTGCAGATATCCACAGCTTCAGCACTCCTAGATCCTCTGCCGTTGGATTGGGAAGTTTAGTTGATGAAATACAGAGATATCAGAAGCCCGTGGTAGCTGCTATCCAAGGYGTGGCCTTAGGAGGGGGACTGGAGCTAGCCTTGGGCTGTCACTATAGGATTGCTCATGCAGAGGTAACAGCTGAGTCTCCTTGTGGAGGTTGGTGTGGGACTTTTCTTCAGGGCAAGTTCTAACTGTAGCCATGAGCATCAGAGGTGGGCATTTTGAATGGTGAGCTCTCTGGCTACAAGTCCTGGGTATCTCCAGCACTGGTGCTGAGCTGTCCTGTAGGGGTCCAGCTATTGTTTGGGGGCTGAAACACTTGCATTCTGGTTGGTAAATAGCTGCTGCTCTGAGCCTTCTATCTCTTTGCTTCCCTTAACCTTCACCCTAGGGCCTCCCAGGGAAGCTAAGGGGAACTCTATTCTATTATACTTTCTATTAGTCTTTTTTCTTATGTAATTTTGTTCTTTGCAAGTGTTCCCTGCTTTGGTATCTTTTTATTTTTTTTAAACCAACATTTGGGATTTTATTGTACTTAGTATACTGTATTTTTATATTTATATTCCATTTATGTCATCATTCAATTGGACAGTTTAACATACATTTACATTTAACATCTTTACTGATAAGGAAGCACTGACTTCTGCCACTCTGCTATTTGTTTTGTGTTTTTGTCTTTGTTCCTCAGTTCCTCCACTAGGGCTTTCTTTTGTGAAAAATAGGTATTTTATAGTGTGCCCTGTTAAGTCCCTTCTGGGTTTTTTTCCTATATATTTTTGAATTTTTTTTTTGTGTGTGTGTGTGATGGTGGTACTGGTGATTGCAATTAACATCTTAATATTTAACAATCTAGCTCAGATTCAGACTTCTTTAATTTTGATAGAATACAAAAAAAAATGCTTCCCTTTATGTGGTCATTATCACAAATCATCTTTTTACATATCATAGACCCATCAATGCAGATTTATCCTTATTGCTTTTTGTGGTGGTCTTTTCCATGATATGAGAAAGGAGGAATTATACATTTAAAAATATATTAGTACTGTCTTTTATGCTTACTTRCATAGTTATCCTTTATGAGTATTTTTCATTTCTTTCTGTGAATTCAGCTTACTCTCTAGTATCTTTTCATTTTAGCTTGAAGGGTTTCCTGTAGGACAGATCTAGCAATAAGTTCAGTTTTTGTTTACCTGGAATGTGTTAAGTTTGTCCTCATTTTCAAAAGGTATTTTGCTGGCTATTCAATTCTTAGTTTGGCAGTTTTTTCTTTCAGTACTTTGAATGTCATGCCTGTCTGGGTCTTCAATGGTTTATGATGAGAAATCATGTTATTTTTGTTATAACATTCTTTTAAAATGTCATTTAAAAAGGTTAYGTAATTTTCCATCATATAAATACATAGGTTGAGCATCTCTAATCCCAAAACCAAAGCCTCCAAAATCCAACAATTTTTAAGTGCAGACATGATGCCACAAGAGGAAAATTCCATACATGATCCATCTCCTGTGATAGGTGAACATTGAAAGGCAGGCACACTCAAATATTGTATAAAATGACCTTCTAGCAACATGCATCAGGTGTGTATGAAACATAAAGATGTTTAGCCTTGGGTCCCATCCACCGATTTCATTGTGTATATTCAGATATTGCAAAATCTGAAATCTGAAAACACTTCTAATCCCAGGTATTTAGGGTAAAGGATGCTCAACCAGTACTATATTCCATAGAGTGTTCAAATAAGATTTTGAAGACACATGCATATTGTAAGTGCTCCTTTAATGTGTTCCTCTCTCCCCAGCCTTCTGTATAGTGAGGGGAGATCTCAGTGACTAGTAAGTCAGGAGGTTGGGATGAGCAATGGGAACATGTGTGGTGATCTACTGACAGGTAGACCTCCTGGGAGAGGGGCTCAAATAGACAAGGTATTTTGGAACTGTTGGCGTAACCATCTGGGTATGTGGAAGCTTCCTTCAATCTGACTGTAAAGGAGTAACAGAGCTCTGACCACTTTTAAATGGCTGGGAAAGGCAGGGTGGTAAGGACTCAAGCTCACCCTCTTGTGTAAACTGAGGTTACTGTCAGGCCTGTATGTGTGCATATACGTGCCCTTTGTTGAGATGTAATTCACCTACCATACAATTCACCCCTGTRAAGCATACAGCTCAGCAGTATAGGAATATATTCACAGAGTTGTACAATCATTCCCACATTTAGAACATTTCACCACACCCAAAATAAACTGGATCAGTTAGTGGTATCCAGTATCCTCTTCTTTTTGTAATGCTAAGCAGTCACTAATTTGCTTTCTGTATCAATTGAATTGTCCATTCTGGATATTTGATATAAATGGATTCATCCAACATGTGGTCTTTTGTGACTGGCTTCTTTTACTTATCTTAATGCTTTCATGTTCACCCACATTGTGGGATGAATATGTTCATTATTCCTCTTTGGTGTTGAATATATTGAATGGCTGTATGACATTTTGTTTATCTRTTCATCAACTGGTGGACATTTGGGYTSTTTCTACTTTTTCAGCATAAGAGATTTTTGTGRCCATGTGTTTCCATTGCTCTTGGGTTTACAATAACTCTGTTTAACCTTTGAGGAATTGTCAAATTGTTTTCCATAGTGACTTCACCCTTTTACATTTCCACCATCAATGTATAAGTGCTCTGTCTTCTCCACATCTTCTCCAACACTTGTTATTGTCTGCTTTTTTTCTTGTACTCATTCTAGTGGGTGTGAAGTTGTATTTCATTGTGGTTTAGATTTGCATTCCCCTGATGTCTAATAATATTAAACACCTCTCCTTGTCCTTATCCCTTCTTTGAAGACATGTCTGTTCAGATCCTTTGTTCATTTTTAATTGATTTTTTTTTTTACTTTTTCACTATTGAGTTGTGAAAGTTCTTAGTATATTCTAGATACAAGTCCTTTATYACTGTCTATAATTTACCAATATTATCAACCCATTCTGTTGGTTCTCTTTTCAGTTTTTTATGCTTCCTGGCTCTTGCAGGTTACCAGAAAACTGTTCCTGGAGRCTATTTGTTTTGTTGTCATAAATGACTCAGAGAAGAAATGTACGAGATGTCTAGGGAGCATAAAGTCTTGGACATGTGAAACCTAGCACAGTTTTACTTGTGCTGTTAATTAAGGGAGAGGATATACACTAATTTTCCCTGCGGAAACTCTTGTTGAATCCAATGAAACAATGTTTTGGGGGGTATAGGAAACCAAGGGCATTAATCCAGTTTGTCTTAAAATCTGAATGTATTATCTCACTGTCGGCCTTTATACCTTCAATGTGATAGGCTCAYGTTGGCTTCCCAGAAGTCACACTAGGAATTCTTCCTGGTGCAAGAGGAACCCAGCTTCTCCCCAGACTCATTGGAATTCCTGCTGCACTTGACTTAATTACCTCAGGTCAGTGTAAACCTTGCCCATGACTGTCTAGACCAGTGTGAGGCTGGCCTGACCACTTTTGCTACCACCTTAAAGGGATATTTTAACTTTTTTGTCTATAAATTGTCTGTAAAATGGAAACAATGTCTTCCTTGAGACTTTCTCAGATGTTACCATGAAGATCTCATTAATTATGAGATCTTGGGTCAGTCACTTTACCTCTCTGTTCTTTAGATTTCTCACATATGTGGATAATAATAGTGCCTMTCATATAGTGATGTGGTGAAAATCAGGTAGGTTAATACACATCATGTGCTTAGGACCCTCTTAGACATGATAAGAACTCCATAAGGAAAGCATATGTGTGTGTTCATCAAATTTAGTTATATTATAGTTTAAGTGACTGYTCATAGACCCTGTGTTCATATAGGGAACATTGTAATCAGATCTAATTTAGAAATTTTAATATCAATTAGAGTTAAAGMCAAAATTTTCAGGATGAACTTTCCAGTTTAAGTTTACAAATGACTGAATTATTCATTTCCCAAGTTTTAAGTTATTAGCTACAAATAGAAGTTTTTCTTTTCAGTGGAGAAGGTGTACAATATAACACTAAACCCTAGATTTGTCAAATGTTATGTTTAACATTATGGAGGCCTTCAGTTGAGGAAGCATTGGAGAAAAGAACAAATACATCTATTTACTCCAARCAATATAATTAATTCTGCCATCTTAGATCAGTCACTTTACCTTTCTTAGATTTCTCACATGTATGTATATAATAGTACTGGCCCTATGATGATGTGGTGAAGATCAGATAGGTCAATACATATTAAGTGCTTTGAACCCACCTAGACATGTGTAAGGACTCCATAAGCTTAGCTGTATATTATTATTCTCATGTCTGACTCTTACTGAGTAAAACTAGGATAAGGATTTGGTGTTAGACTATATATATATAGTAAAAGGAGCAGATTTTAAAAATTTTGTAAATATGGTTATTTTGTATAAAAATGTTTTAAATAGAATGATTTTATCATTATTATTTTAAAATTATTTCATATGGGGTTGGAGTTGTAGCTCATGGCAGAGCACTTGCCTAGCACGTGTGATGTACTGGGTTTGATCCTCAGTGCCATATAAAAATAAATAAAAATAAAAGTATTGTGTCTATCTACAACTGAAGTTTTTTTTTTTTTAAAAAAAAGACCTTGTTAAAAATTATTTTAGGCTGGGGCTGTGGCTCAGCGGTAGCACACTTGCCTGGCATATGTAAAGCACTGGGTTTGAGTCTCAGCGCCACATATAAAAATAAATAAAATAAAGGTCTACCAAAACTAAAAAAAAAATTTTTTAATTTTTAAAATTCTCAGTTCTAATTTCTAATACAGTAAATATTGATGGATATAACCTATATAAACAAGAACATTTTGTAGTCCTTCATAAGTTTTAAGAATGTGAAGGGCTATATGACTTAAGCATTTGAGAATTGCTACTAGATATATGTTGTTTGTTTTGGTTTTGTTTTGTTTTTTTCCTGCAAAACTGGGGATTCCATTCAGGGCCTTTTACACACTAGGCAAGCACTCTACCCCTTCGTTACAACCTCAGCCCTTTTAGTAAATTTTATTTTGAGAYGGTGATACCAGAACAATACAAGGGAAAATTGGTCCAAGGGATAGAAAATAGACAAAGCTTTAGTTGGGGAACTTTTCYTCAAGGAGGGGGAGTCAACTCTGGTAGAGATCACACTCCCTCTCTGAACAAATGAAAGAGCTAGTTTTATTTGTGTGGAGGAGTGGACTAYAGTTTAGAAACTTTAATTGACTTTGGGTACATTACAAAAGTRTTTTCTTTTTCTATGTGAGCACTTCAGTCTCCGGGGAAGGGCTATCAGTTGTGCAGTCTGGAACCAGATGTTACAGTCTGTCCTACTGATGCTTCATCCTGTCTGTCATCCTTGTCCTGTAATGAGATGAGTTGCTGGCTGTTAAGAGGACACAGGGAGGGAGGGGTAGAAGAAAGCAAAATCATGGGGGTAACAGGTTGAGGGGCCAGGGAATTTGTCATTAGCCATTTGYAGCAATCCCCAAATAGTTTCACTCTGTTATCTAGTTTATCTTTGCAGATATTAAGTCAAAGGCATCCTGACTTTAGGGATGTACCTGGTCTTTGAGGTCAGTAAGATTATGGAGTGAGAGGGATAGAGAAGAAACATACCACACTTTTCAATGTGGAACAGGCTATGAGTTCAAGGTTGGAGAGCAGGAAAAAGCAAATAGCACACATTTAATAGCTGACAGGCTATGAATTAAGTCCCAGGACTGCATTTGTCCTTTGTCAGGGGGAGCTCACTGTCTCAACAGGATCTCCCTAAGATGCCCAGACTGACTGTGAACTTGTAAATTTCCTGCTTCAGCTTCATGAGTAGTTGGTATTACAGGCCTGTGTCACTATGCCCAGCAAAATCTATATGTTTTGAAACAAAAAGTATAATACAAACTGTGTATACATTAGAAAATTATATCATGGTATATGCATTAAATTTTTTTTTCTTTTGTGATACTGAGAATTGAACTCAGGACCTCAGGGATGCTAACTAGGCAAACACTCTACCACTGAGCTACATCCACAGTCCTGACTTTATTCTTTAAAAATGATGTGGGTAGCTTATTTTCCCTGGAGACAGCAAGATCTGGCCCTGCCAAGGACATCCACCTTCACTGTCCTTTTTAGTGCTTCTTTAGTACTTACTATTTACCTCCAATTCCTCAATAAAATGATTTGACTTCCCCCAAATAAGTACATTAATTAATTAATTAAAATAAAATGAGATGGGACTTATAAATCCTATAAAATRTGAAGGAAAGTTAGAAAATTGAAAGCATTAAATTTATTTTAAAAATGAACTTACAAATTGTTTTAATTTATAATGCTATAAGTTCCTTTTWCAGAATGTGAACTATTTAAAGTGTCTGATTTAGAATTCTTGCCTTGGGATCTCTTGACATTGACCTACACAGGGCTCTTCTTAGAGCCTGTTGGCAGGAGTTGTCATATACACTGAGGGCSGCCCAAGGGAAAACAATTTTAAAGCACAGCCTGAGGATTTGGTTTGCCTATCTTAGTTCTTTGAAAGAGAGTAAGTTTGCTTGGAATGTGACTGACACTGGGAGAACAGTAGTGGTATTCCTTCATTTTGTGAAATCCAAGCCAGAAAGAAATCATTACAGATGAAGAGCTTTTCATTCCATCTGTGGGTGGCTCATATTCCCCTACTTTGTTGTCCCAGAGATCCTTTTAGTTTTCTATCTTCCATTTATGTCCCCTCAGTGCCCCTAACCTGGTTAGGCTGATTTACTTAACTTCACCCAAAGTRACTGTGTACATGGGACACTTGACCCCTGACACCACTCACCTACTCCACACCCCCTCTGCACTGCAGGAGAGGATCTGGAAGCTTGATTTCAAGGCACTTCCAGAAAAGTGACCCAAGACTGCTTTTCAGCAGGACCCTGGAAATCACTGAACTGTTCACCTGGTCACAAAAACCCATTTGTATTTCTCTGAAGCACTCATAGGACCCAGGAATGGAGGTTTTTGTTGCAGAGGTGGCATCTGCCAATAGTGTAAGGGCAAAAAGATCCAGGAATTATTGCCACCAAGACTGATTTGATGATTGCTTTTCTGAGGTCAGGATTGTGCMTTGCAAGAAAGAAAGTTCCTGTCATTTTCTCCTTCCTTCTGGCCCCATGCTTAAGGCCACACCTGTACTTCAGAATATGCACATCAGATCACATCTTATAAGTGGTGAAGAACTGCCCAGACAGTTCTATAGTGATGCAAACCCTGATCAATTTCTGTAACTCCCTAGAGGTGACCTTCCTTCCAACACTAAGGCTGCTGGGGCCACCCTGAACGCAGGAGGCTGGCAATTCATAGTAGATGTTTATATCCTAGAAAGAGCCTTCTCTACTAGAGAGAACAAGATTCTCACTTTAACCTCATATTCTTTGACTTGTTTTATTTTAGGAAGACACATTTTGGCCYGTGATGCACTCAAACTGGGCATTCTGGATGAAGTTGTGAACTCAGACCCAGTAGAAGCAGCAGTCAAATTTGCCCAGAGAATTTTAGGTAAGAAGATGATGATGATAATTTCACAAGAGTGGAAACAAGCTAAATGTCCATTTTAACAAGACAGTCCTTAAATACCTTATGGGACACCCATGTGATAGAGGCTCTAGTGGTTGGGTTCTCTTTTGTGTAGTCTTTGCTACCCTCTGAGCAGCCTCACCCTGTCTGATTTGGAGTTTGATGACTAGAGTCCCAAGAAAATTTCCAGGACATTTACTGTTTATATTTTTAATGAATACCAGTGTTGAAATCCTGTGATGGCTTGATGCTGCTTTGTCATAGAACTTAAAAATGAATTTACTGATGTGGCATGAACCCATGATATATTATATTAGTTAGTGAAAAAAGCATCATTTGTGGTGGTTTGCCATTGTTGTTATAAAAAGAGGTGAYGGATAGAATGTATTTTGGGGAGAATGGACAAATATAACTGTTGGTCCATGTGCAAAATGTATGTTAGGATTCACCAGAAATGGCATGGTTGCCTCTGGGAATGGTGCTGTCAGTCAGCCAAAGCAGTTTAAAGGAGATTTTTTTTTTTTTTTTTTTTACAGTTTACACAATAAGTTTATCCAAGTTGACTGTAGGGTGGTGAGTGTTGGTAACGGTGCACAATCGTGTGCTCAGTGCCACACTAAGAAAGTATCCTGAAGCCACTTTCTGGTAGGTCCTTTTGTCTTTCCCTTGGCCACTGACCTGTCTCCTGTCACTGCAGTGTTACGTTTTTTAGAATTTCATGTAGATGGAATCCWGCATACAGTATGGTGTCTTCTGTGTCTGGCTCCTTTCACTTAGTGTAATGTTTATAGAGTCATAGTATTGTTGCATATATTTGGTTAGATTTGATTACTAAAATATATTTCATAAAATGAGAAAACCCCAATTTCTGTATGTGTTTATGAGTTGGTGGACATTAAGTCGATTCTATTCTAGACCTCCACCAGTTTATAAATAGATATTATTTTGTCTGTTAGGTAAATACCTGAGAATGGGATAACTGGATTGTAAAGTAAATGTGTAGTTAACTCTCACATGCTTTTTAAACCTCATAAATGGAAAGAAAAATTCAAAAGTCGCTAATTTTTGCCAAGAAAATTAGAAAAAACAGAAAACTAATGGAATAAGACTGAATATTTAATAAGCTTTCCTTGAACTATTTGTAATAATACATCCTATTTACAGGTCAATAGGCCACTGATATACTGAGGCATAAAAATATTTATATTTTTTTTACTTAGTGTTTCTATTCCTGGTAATTTACTTAGAGAAATCATCACAGAATTATAAAAAGATTCAAGCATAGTAATGATTACTGAATCTTTATCATTGAAAAACAATGGAAACGGCCTGGGGTTGTGGCTCTGTGGCAGAGTGCTTGGCTCGAAAATGTGAGGCACTGGGTTTGATCCTCAGCACTACATAAAAATAAATAAAGACATTGTGTCCATGTGTAACTAAAAAAAAAAAAAACCAAACTTTAAAACAAATGGAAACATCTAAAAAAATCTAACTTTAGGGAATTAATTACCTAAAAGATGATCCATCTCAATGAGACAATTCTATTCAGCCACTAAAACTTGTGTCTTTGAAGAAAACTGAAGAACTTGAGAAAATGTTTACATGTAGTATTAAGAAGAAAACYGCCTGATGTGAAATTTCACAGATGTCTGGGTGTTCACGTACCTATTTGTATAAGGAACCAGTATAATGAACTATAATTGTTTTTTTTAAACCTTATTTTTATGTGGTGCTGAGGATYGAACCCAGTACCTCACATGTGGGAAGCCAAAGTGCTCTAYTGCTGAGCCACACCCCAGCCCTCACTATAGTAGATTTTTATCAGAAGTTGTATTRGGATAATAGATAATGAAAATCCTTAATTTTTAAAAATATTTATCTCTCCCTATTACCCAAGTCATTAATTCACCSAAAGGAGAAAGGGGGAGCTGGGCCAGCATGCAAGGGGTGCATGAAATGGGCTTCGGACTAGACATCAGAAGAAATGTGGACCACAACAAATTTCCTTGTGGGGTTTTATGTTTTTTTCATCCATAAAAGGAAAAGTATCCACAAAATTGTTTTCAAATCATATTCTGATACCACAAAGGCTCCAATGGTTGGGTTCTCTTTTGTGTAGTCCTTGCTATCCTCTGAGCAGCCTCACCCTGTCAGATTTGGAGTTCAGTGACTAGAGTCCCAAGAAAATTTCCAGGACATTTRCTGTTTATTTTTTTAATGAGTACCAGTGTTTGAAATCCTGTGATGGCTTGGTGCTGTTTTCTCRTAGATAATAAACGCTAGAGATATAAGGTAGAGAAATCAGACTGATCAAAACAGGACTGACTCAGAATTTTATCTCTACTTGCCACTTAGGTTCTCACAAAATGCATAGTTTAGCTGTGCCTATTTATTTTGTTCCTTTCATGTTCACTGCAGATTGTGTGCTTATCCTTTCTTTTTATGTTTCCCTTTTTTGTTGTTGTTTGCTTTTAAATATAGCTCTATGAGATCATTTGGCAAAACAAAATTGATGTATTGACTTGATGGAGAGGTACCACAAAAATCTAATGCACTAGTTATTAAATATATATGCATTTATCATAAATAAAYATATGAATACAAGGAGATTTATGCTTCTGTAATGCTGGTGCAATTGTCTTGATATGGAAAAACGGTTCCTTAACTTTCYTGTGTATCAGAAATTCTTGGATGGCTTCAAACACAGTTTGCAGGCTCCACTCTTTGCTTTCTGATTCAATATATGGAGGGTGGGGGCAAAGAATTTGTCTCTATCAAGTGCTTAGGTGATGTTAGTGCTGTGTTCTGGAGACCACCATTTGAGAACCATTGAGTAGAGGTCATAGGGGTAAGAATGGAGATTACATTTTCTAGGGTCTACTTTTTCCACGTGATGTGCAAGCAATGACTGCGGTCTTTTTTTTTTTTTAAGAGACAGAGGATTATTTTTTTACTATTTATTTTTTAGTTTTCGGTGGACACAACATCTTTATTTTTATGTGGTGCTGAGGATTGAACCCAGCACCACTCACATGCCAGGCGAGCGCACTACCACTTGAGCCACATCCCCAGCACCTGACTGCCATCTTAAAACATCAGCAAGTCAGTTATGAAAAACATGGTTAAAAAGCCACATGACTTCTGTGGTAYGTGAATGATATCTTAATTGAAACAATAAGTGCAAATATTTTTAATTCACTTTTTCTACTTGAAAATTTTGAAAAAAATTTTCATTTGAAAAATTTTGATTTCGGCCTTTTTTCCCTAGTCACTACTGAAATATTGAATCAAAACAAACAAAAGTAAAGGTTAAGAAGATATATTTAGTTTCTATATCTCATGAGATAGGGAATTCCCTTCTTTATATCCTATGGTTACTATWCCACTCATCAATTTTGGAACTGGTTATAGGTGGGAAAGGAGTATAAGAGGTTACATATCTACAAATGGGTCTACTAWTGTACTGCAGATTTCTCTACAAACTTAACATATCCTGGCAAATTGGCTATTTTAGCTAATTAGCTTTACACATCTTAATTTTCTTGTTATATGAAGCCCCTTAGTCTATAGCAATACAATAGACTTAGTGGAGGAATGCAGGATTCCTGGGCCAGACCTGCTTGCTTTGGCTCACCTGGAAAGGGGAGGGTCCTGTGTAAGGCCATCTGTTTGCACTTGCATGTGGCCAGCAGCTGGCTTGTCCCAGAACTGAGTGAGAATTCCCAGTCTCCATGTGTGCATTTCTGGCGCGAAGCTGCAAGTGAGAGCAAAGACCAACACCCTGTGGCTCTGTGCCCCCCTTTCCAGCAGGGATGRGCCCAGGGCACRTCCACCTGGGAGCCTCAAGKTGGTGCTCTCTCTGTGTCTAYGTGGTAGTGGCTGCACTGGGCTGTTGGACTTTTGAAGAACTCCAATTCTGCCCAAAGAACTTGGTGTATTTGTTCATTTGGATTTGTGGCTTTTAAAAAACCTTACTGGTTTCCTGGGCCTTCTGCCTCCTTTTATCTTTTGCTCTTGTAGTTTAATTTTATTYTCTATGAACATTCTATATAAACAAGTTTCAAAACAGAAGAGTGACCCTGTCTCATGTTGGAGGCTCAGCAYATGTCCACATTTAGTTTCCCCTTAACGTGCTACACACTTACTGTAGGTGATCTCCCTAAAGCCTGTACAGTTGTTTCATCCTTTGCAGAGCCTCAAGG